GCTTTAAGATGACCGCGTTGGCTTTCCTCGGCACCCCCGACAGTTCAAGGATCGATTCGTGGAAGTTCCAATCGCCACCCATAATCGCTAGGTGCTGGCCCTCTAAGGTCCCCCCCGCGCGTTTCAGGATATCCAAGTTACGTTTACTGAGGCCCTCAGAATGATACAAGTAAGCACACGCAGCAATAAGGGCTTTGGGCCACTGGGGAATGTCCAACTCGACTACGATGAGCCTATGGGGGGCCAGCGCGCCCTTCGGACACCATGATGGCCATCGAATACCCACCGACGTACGAGCGAAGATGGCCACTCCTGCGGATGTCTGGCCGCCGTCACATGGTGTTGACGGCGTGCAGAGAAGGTGCCAACCTAACGATAGCGCCTTGGCCGTCTTGTCCCCTTGCGTCTCATCGGTAAACCCAACCTCTTGAGCGAACAGCACCAGAGCTTCCGACCGAGCGAGACGTCTCTCGAGTGTCCTCCAGCTGTTACCGTTGTAGCACTCAAAAACCTGCCCTGGATGGTCGTCAGTTTTTAAACGACATGTTGGCGGCGGACAGACGGCCCCGAATTTCGAAGTCTTGAAACCCGAGCACAACGGCGTGCCACTGGAAGAGGGGGTGGAGCCAGCACCACCAGGAGCTGCTGAGCCCACGCTCTGCTGCTGCTGGGCGGCCCAGTTACCGACGACCCCTTCCGTTCTACAGTTAGTATTTCGAGCTGGATCCAGCGCCAGGTGGGGATGAGGATGCGCCGAAAAAGCGCCACAATCGCTGCCCTGCTGGGCCTCGGGGTCGCGACAAACGGCCCCAGGAACCAAGAGAGCTTGGCCTGACCATGTCTCCATGGTCGTACACACCCCTGCCCTCTTAGCCGCAAGGGCCCCGACCGCAGAGGGCGCCAGGTCGGACAGGGGCGGGGAGACATGGCCTAGAGAGACCGACTGAACATTACTACCCTGAGCCTCCGCCTCGGAGACTCTCAGCACAGGGGCCTGCCCATCAACCGCTTGATCACCGTCGAAGCTGCCGTGGAGCAGGTAGTCGAACAGGTACCACTGGATGCGCAACGAGTTCTGCCGCTGGACTGTCCAGTCAGCCCCGAAGTGCATCGCGTAAAAATCAAAAGCATCATCGGTCAAGACGGTGGGCACGCGCAGAGACTCGACTGGGCGATCTCCCCGAACTGGCCCTGGACCGTGATGTGAACTCCCACTCGACGCAGCCATACGTCGACCAATTTTCTTGGGCGGGGAGAGCACTGCTTGCTGGAGGGTGGGCCACTGCGCGTCACCAAGTACTGGGAATGGCTCCAACAATCCAGCGTCATCATCACCGCATAATCGATCATCGTCAAAGCTGAGCCGTGCGTGGTCGTTTGAGTCGGGCTGCCGACAAAGCCTCCACGATCGCTCGCTTGTCTCCCTTGTGCTTCTCCCAGAAGGCCTCGACATCGGCTGTATCCTGGAAGCATGCGTCCAGCTCCTCATCAGCATCCATAGGCACAGGCTCCGTGACACCGTCTTTACTGCCACTGGCCGCCTTTTTAGCATTCTCCATGAAGAGCTTCTCGTAGTCCTTGAAGGCCTGGGACTCCAACATCTCTTTGATTTCATCCTTGCCCTGAAGAACCTCAGTAGGCAGCTCCAAGCTTGGGACACGAGGAAAAGCACGACCAGGAGCGTCTTGTGGGATGGAGTCCACGAGCTGCTGGTTGAGCGCCTTGACCTCGGCATCCAACGCTCTTTGCTTCGCCACCAAATCATCACGCTTCGCCTCTGCCTCCTTGATCGACTCGTTCTGGAGGCGCAGCTCTTCAGCGATTTGAGTCTGGCGCTTTTTGGCTTTCGCCAACCTGTGCCCGACATTGGTCTGTATCGTGATGTCCGACTTTTTGGCCTCCAACTTGGCACGCACATCACGGAGCTGTGCCAGCAAGAGATCCTTCGCCGTCGCCATGTGGTCTTTGTCACAAGACTTAATCGCCTCCTCCAGCTCGGTGGCCTGGGTGACCAGGGGGTCGTCCTCGGCCTCCGCGCCCTGAGCAGAGGATGGCTGGGCTCCTCCTCCACCAATTGGGCCCTGGGGCCCCCCGGCCCCACCGCGAGGTTGGGCCGCCTTGATGAAGGAGTCGATGCGCTTCTGCATGTCCGCAATCTGCTTCTCAAGCTTAGACTGCTGACGCTCGCCCAGCTTCGGCGCGGGTCCGCCACCACCAGGGTCACGAGCAGGGCCACCAGCACCACCGAACGTCTTAGCCTTTGCGATGACGTGCTTGGGCGCGGGGGCCCCGCAGCGGCACCGCAGCCTGCACGCCCAGTTGGACGTGAGCCCACATGTCTGGCATCCCCAGTACGGTAGCTTGGCACCCTTGACCACATCCTTATTCGCCATGCGCCCCCGCGGGGCAAAGTACGTCGCTGCTCCTGCAGGAGCTCACCAATCACCGAGCCAAAATCAGCTCGCAGCAGCACTTAGCCGCTCTGAAGGTGTACTGCTGCAAGCCCAAAAAACTTGGGCCAGAACGGCTAGCGGGGATAGCGGGAGAGGAGGGAGGGGAATGAGGAGGAGGAAGAGGAGGAGGAGGAGGAGGAGGAGGAGGAGCAGGAGGAGGAGGGATATCATGATGACGATGAGAAGGAGGAGGAGGAGGAGGAGGAGGAGGAGGAGGAGGAGGAGGAGGAGGAGGAGGAGGCGGAGGACGTTTTCGATGGCGCCGGGAAAAACCTGTCCCCGCGCAGGCGCGAACACCAACCAGTCATTGTCCATCCTGTCCATGCCGGCGGGCGGGGCACGCGCCCAGTTGTGAGGAGGGAGACGTAGCAAGAGAGCGGGGCGCAAGAGAGCAAGAGAAGCAGGAAGGGCCACAAGGGGGGCCGGCAGGGCACTCGGATGGACGGCCGCCTGCCCCCCCCCCCCCTGGCGCGCAAGGGCCAGGACGCGTGGCTCCGCCTGGCCTTCGCGAGACCCGCCGAAGACCCGCAGCCTAACTGCAGGCAGACCCAGCCATCACCAGCAGCCGCAGAGGCGCAACGGAGCACCACCAAACGGGGGGCACCAAAGGGAAGGCAAAACGCGCAGTTCCGCAGCGCCGGAGGAACATCTGCAGCAGGGGACAGAGCACACAAAGGGGAACCGCCACGGGGAGGGGGGGGATGGGAGGGAGGGACGCCACATGAGAAAACGAGACTCGATGGGCTGCCCGAACACCATCCCATGGGAAACAATCTACCTTTGGGACAGGTCGCCGCGAGCCTCGTGCTTCAACGATCACAGCCTCACTTCCCTGCGCGCGCGCGCGATCCGCAACGGAAAGTCCAACAACACTAGCAAAAGAAACGACGCAAATACACGCAAACACGCGCAGCGCACAGCACGCCAGCGCGACGTTGCATCGGCGCCTGCCCGCGCTACCTCCCCACAGGATTGCTTGGCCAATCAAGGCCGATCGGCCTTCCTAGTCACGACGCGGCACACATATGATGGAAGAACGATGTTCCAACTTTACCTTGTTCGGTTCTCACGCTGGCGCGTGCCAGAATACTTCAATGGCCTCCCTTCCCACGGGAGTGGAGGCTATTGCAGCATGAGCGGTTCAAGGACAAGTCGAACGAAAGGCGACACAAAAAGCAACGCAAATGGTGACACAAAAAGGAACACAAATGGTGTCACGAAAAGAATCCATGGGAAGCGACCCTCGACGGCCCGCCGCGGCAAGCCGACCTGAATGCCTTTTCGCGGGCGCTTATCCTGGCGATCGCCCCAGCGCGTCTGCGGGCGCAGAAGCTGGCATGGAAACCCTAAACGGCGAGGTCTATTTGAGAAAGTGGTTCGGCAACCGAATGGTGCCGACTACGCGCGCCCGCTCATCTACAAGCCGCACGCATACATCGACCGACGCCTACGCTCATCGCAGCAAGATGACCAGCCATCGGCCTGACGGTCAAGGTCCCTCGCCCAGACATGCCATCTGCAGCTGCTTCTCACGGGTCGGCTCTTGGTTCGCTCGAAGCGAGCATTGTTTGTGCTTTCGCTCCCTTGCCGCGAGCAGGGAGTGCTCGCTATGGCAGCGAGAGCACGCCGCAGGTCGTAGCCGGCGAGACAGAACAGGGTAGCCTTAGGTCGGGCATGTCCTCCTACAGGCGGAGTTTCGACGAGCAATGAAACATAACAAACCATGCTCAAGAAGAGCCAACAAAAGAACCGAAAAACAAGGTCTCCTGACTATGTTTGGGCTGTTTTTGAAGATTCCTCCTGTAGAGGGACGTGCCCGACTTAAGGGTAGCCTCGCACTTCAACAAGGGCCTCGCGCCCACGGGCGTGGGAAGGAGAGGGCCCGCGCCAGCAGTTTTCGGTGCCGGGTCTGAGCGAAGGCGCCTCCCTTGCGGCAGCCGCAGGTGGCGACGAGACTCCGCCTGATCAAAGCAGGATGAGGGGGAGGAGTAGTAGTAGTAGTAGTAGGAGGAGGAGGAGGAGGAGGAGGAGGAGGAGGAGGAGGAGGAGGAGGAGGAGGAGCAGAAGGACGAGGACGAAGACGGAGACGAAGAGAGGAGGAGGAGGAGGAGGAGGAGGACGAGGACGAAGAGGAGGACGAAGAGAAGGAAGAAGAGGAGGATGAGGAAAGGAAGGATAATGGGGGGCGCCTGGCGATCGCACGAGCTCAAGGTCTCGGAAGTGCCTCCAGCCACCTTCAAACTAACCCCCCTGCGCTCACACCGCCGCTGGCTGCGCCGACGGCGGCAGACGACATCGAAGACGACAACGACGACGCAACCGCCGACGCAACCGACGACGACGACTGACGACGACGATGCAAGGCGACGACCAGCACGACGACATCGAAAATGACGACGAGGATGACAACGAAACAAGTGACACACAGGTGCCGACGCGTCACATTCGTCGTCATCCTCGTGACGGCGACGAGGACGACGACGAAGATGGCGGCGACAAAGCCGACGACGACGCCGGCGGTGAATATCGACGGCGAAGAGGCTACGCCTGGAGCCGCCGCGGCAGCAGCGCCGTGGACGCCGGGCGAGGAGGTGCCGCGGGCGACGGGAGGCCGTCGAACACCGGGCGGCCCGAGCGACCTGAGCGGAGAGTCTCCCGCGGCGACGGCGCCGAGGGCGGCGAGGACGGCGCCGAAGGGGACGACAAGACGAGGACGACGAGCACGACGAGGACGACGACGGCGAGGACGACGACGACGAGGACGACGAGGACGAAGACTAGGACGCAGAGGACGGCGAGGACCAAGAGGACGACGAGGACGATGGCGACAACGGGGGCGAATAGTCCTCCCACCTTTCCTCCTCCTCCTCCTCCTTCTCCCACGCCTTGTCCTCCTCCCGCATGGCGTGCCTTTCCAGCAGGCGGCCTCTTCGCCTGCTGCCAGCTCGACGGGGGCGAGCCTGGTTCTCCAAGGGTGATTGGGTGTCCCCTCTGGCGTTTTGTTGTGCTTCTTGTCTTGCACAATGCTTGTACGATGTATGTGCGTGTTACGGTCGGGCTGACAATGGACATTATCAAGCCTGACGGTCTGAACATCCTCCTTCCGCGTCATCTTCCGCTGCTCCTCCTCCTCCTGCTGCGGGAGCATACCTAACTGGCTCCACGGACACGACATATCTTGCACCCGCAGACGGGGAGGAACCTCTGATCCAGGCCTTCAGCGTCGTGGTTATGTTCACGGCGCGGAGATCTGTGTTAGAGAGCCCCGTGGGCGCACCTAGAATCTCGTGGCGCACGCACAGAGTCCCCCAGAAGCCAGCCCAGGCCCGACCCATCTCAAATCGGCAACCGAGCACCACATATAGGGCGACGAAATCCATACATATCCACTGCTCCCTGGCCAGGCCCATCCTGAACCCAGCAGCGGTGCATACGCCACGCCCTCCTGGTTTGGCCAGGAGGGCCTATACACAGCTCCTGGGTTCAGGATGGGCCTGGCCAGGGAGCAGCGGGGGGAGGAGGAGGAGGAGGAGGAGGAGGAGGAGGAGGAGGAGGAGGAGGAGGAGGAGGAGGAGGAGGAGGATGAGGAGGAGGAGGAGGACGAGGAGGAGGAGGAGGAGGAGGAGGAAGAGGCCGAGGTGCATACATTTCGTGGCTCGGCGAAGAGAAAGAAGACGTCACGATCAGACGGATCGAACGAGCAGGTCAGGAGCAGAGCGCAGGGTGACGAACGAGCAACGCGCACCCATGCTCATAGGTGGGACGGAGGGGGCTATGGGTGCGTGTTGTCGGATGGGGGTCCCCGCTCGAAAGGAAGCACCCCCCAGGATCCGACAACTCGCACCCATACCCATAGCCAGTCCTCCTCCCAACATTCCCCCTACGGGTATGGGTGTGTGTTGCTCGTTCGTCACAGGGGGAGGCCCCATAACACGGCCCCCTCCCCCCCAAACAAACGCCCAGAAGCCACCTGGGCCTCTCGGTAGGCCGATCGTCGACCAACAGCGCCAGAACGGGAACCGGCACTCGTCCCCCGCCCCTCGTCCCCCTCCTCCTCCTCCTCCTCCTCCTCCTCCCCCTCGTCCCTCCTCCTCCTCCTCCTCCTCCTCGTACTCGTCCTCCTGTTCCAGCTCTCTCTTGCTCCCCCGCCACCTCCTCCTCCCCGGCTGGAGGCCCGAAACTGGTCAAACCCTTGAACCCCGATCCTCCTCCTCCTCCTTCTCCTCCTACTGCTCCCTCCCTCCTGTCTCCTCCTCGGTAACTGCCGTCCTGGCCCGAGGCTTTGGGGCTTTGGGTGCAGGTTCCAAGAACCTGCGAGCCTCTCAGGACTGCCGCAAGACGCGCCGACCCGCCATACCAGCGTCTGGACAGTCGTGCCCCAAGAGGGGACGCTCGCCACCACGCGCCGCAGATTCAAGCCAGCGTGGCACCGCTGATTGAGAGCACAAAAGAGGATCGCCAGAGCGCTCCTCCGCGTCGCAGCAGCCAAAGAATTGCTCGACAAGCATCACAGCTCGATGGCGCAGTCTAGTCATCAAGACAATCGTTCGCAGGCCAAGTTTTGGGCATGCAGCACGTGCCAGCGGACGAACATCTATTCCAGCAAGAAATGCAAATTCTGCGTGCCAGCGCCCGACAACAGCATCGACACTGTTCCGGACGAAGTAGAATCAACACCGCCATGGATCTACCAGTCTCGCACGAGGAAGCCACAGTGGTCAGCGAGCTGGACGCATCAGGGACAATGGTAGCAAGAGGATACAGCAGGAGGACCACGCCCTAGACGGGCCATGCCAGTTCAAGCACCTGGCAGGCGAGCAAGAGATGGCCTCACGCCACCGTTGCCACGTCCAGCACGGCCCGAAGAAGCCATGAAGCATCGACTATGGTTGCCAATGCCTACGTCGAAGAAGGATATCATTGCTCACCGAGATCAGTTGAAGATCAACCTCGATGGACTGGACAAGCAAATCAAGAGCGCCTACCAGATAGGCCAACGCTCAGCCCGCATTGTAGGGCTCGAGCAGGGCTACGCGGTCACCCTCTACACGATCATGTACGCCAGGGAAAGCCTACGTCGACAGGATCAGGAAGCGATTGAGTGACGCCCAGAGAGCTGAAGACCACGCGCTTGATGAGCACAAGAAGGTAGTCACCCTCACGCAGGCGCTCTTCGAAGACGTGCAGAAAGCAGAGGATCTGTTATCGCACTGCGAGCGCCTCGGGGAGGAGAATGACGACGAGGATGTACACATGGAGGACAAACCAGCTCAAGCACAGGAGGTACCAGCAGCCCCAGAGGTGGCACAGGCATCAGCCAAGAAGGTGCCAACGAGTGCTGACCAGACTGCCACCACGGCAGCATGCATCGCGGCCATGCAGGCGACCAACATCGACCTGGCAGCCCAGGTCGGCGACCTCGCCACCCAGATGGCGACCATCCAGCAGGCCCTTGCGGCGGTCATCACGAACGCCTCGCTGGCACCGCCAGCAGGACAGGCCACCCCACAGACCATGGGCCAGGCACGAGCGCCACCGCCGGCGAGCCACGTGGCCCACGCAGGCGCGGCGTCAGCCCCACTTGGCCGCAGGGCCCGTGCCATGGCCGCCACATCCAGCGCTGCACGGAGAGGCAGCTGTCACAGGTGACCAGAGCGGATGTACCAGCAGCGGAGCGGGCGGTGACAGCCCCCAGACCAGGGAGAGCGACCTCGGCATCAGCCAAGCCGGCCGACGCGAAGACCCCGAAGAAGATCGCGCTGAGGACCGCAGCGGACAGGTCAAGAAGCAAGCGCATCCCAGGCAGCGTCCTCGGGGTCGTCTTCGACGAGGGCAACGTCCGCAGGGCCGCCGCCGAGGACGTCAAGGTGGACTCCGACGAGGACGGCGCCGACGAGGGCATGGGCGACGAGCCCAGTTCAAGGACGGCCCGCCAGGGCCAAGAGGATGAATCTTGACAAACACCGTTGCTTGCTGGAGGGGAAGTAACAGACATCTCCCCAGGAACTCAGGACGACCCATGCCCCACCCCTCCATTGGAGCCAGGACCTGATCTTCGTGGAATCGTTTCCAGCCCCATCCCCAACTTAGCGGATACCCCGGACCTGCTCCAGAAAAGGTGGGAATGAGAGTTACTTGCCGATGCGGTCACTTACGCAAAATTTTGGCACCCGACCACTATCGCAGGTCTTTCTAGGCTGGGCCCCGACCCAGGCATCCCACTTATGCGTCTGAACAGATACACTGACGGCACGGCTGGGGGATACAAAGATTGGGAGAGGAATGGCTGCACTCCCGCGTGGCCATTTGTGGTCATTGCAGCAGCGCGTGAGCACACTGGGTTATACGGCTATTTAGGAAGTACTCTTGAATCAGCACAAACACTGTACGCTACGTCGTTACACTCAGCAGCAACATCAGATGAAGCAGGTATATGGGCAAGGGCTTTGCCTATCAGCACGGCAAGCAAGTTCCAGCACATCCCGTTGGTTTGCAAACCGACCGACCACGTGAAAGTCGTACGTAGTGCCTCCCTTGGAGCTCTCAAAGGTCCCCTCAAAGGCCCACAATGGACCCTGGACAGCCTGGTGCAAATACTACACCACAACTGTGCCAACTTCTGTTGGGAACATGTCCCGGGCCACTCCGACCATGCATGGACCGAAATGGCAGATACCACAACACGTCTTGCAGCCGTGCACCTTCTCTCGCACCTGCCAGTGTTACGATGGCGAGCGGAGCCCGACCTACCATGGCACCAGCAGGCACTGAGGTGGATGTGGCTGGACATCTTGGCCGTGGAGCGGCGCGCCCAGTTTCCGCCAGCCTCGGGCACGCCACTCCGGCCGCCGCTTGGCGCCACGATCAACTTGCAGGATGGGCTACCTCAACGCATCACATGTCCATGCGAGCCACGGCCAATGCACTTACTCTACATCCCAGCATGTGGGCTGACCATCTAGACGACAGTGGACCTGGCCCAGGTCGTAGCATGCAACTAGCAGGTAGCTTTGCAGCGCAGGACTACTACATAGGTGGGTTCCAGGAAACCAGGCTGCAGTTACACAAAACACAGTATGTAGGATAATCCACAGTATTTCACTCATCAGCTACACCAGCAGGTACAGAAGGGTGTGCAGTGTGGATCAGGCAGCATATTGAATACATGCCAGGACACACCATCAGGGAAGACATGTGCAGGGTCTTACAGTTCTTACACGCAGGGCCGGCCAGGCTCATCGTCTCTATATGGGGACCAGGCATTTCACTCAACATCATTGTGCTGCATGCCCCACTCTCCAGGGCAGGAGCCACAGGAGAGGCATCCCAAGTACGTTTGAAGGAGTGGTGGACAGCCACCACCGCGCTAGTGCAGCAGACAAGGCTAGGAGCCGAACAGCTAATCACTTTGGCAGATGCGAGTGCGGCGGTCGGCAACCTATGCTCCGAAGCAATCGGGTCCCAGGACAAGGAAAACCAAAACCTTCCAGGGACGTTTCAAAAAAGGAGCATCAAGCAGTCAAGGCACTAGTCATGCTTCGGCCGTCAGGACACGTCCAAGAACGCTCCGCCCCGCAGATAGAGCTGCGCTCGACCCAGCTTTGCATGATGACCCAGAGGCCTGCAGCAAGTGTAAGCA